TAGTGAGTGAGACGGCCCCCCCCCCCCGGGAGGTCACAGGCCTCTACGAATTTTTATGTAAGAATAACGTAAAACAAAATAATTAATACCAATAATGCTATAAAAGTTAAAAAAATAGAACCTTCTTTCCATTGGTAAACCTATACGTTTAAAAATATTAGCTTAATGTTAAGTTTTAGTAAAAAGCTACCTATATAATTCGCCTTAATAAATGCTAATAACTTCTTATGCTTATGAGCAGAGCTGGACAGTTTTTATTTAAAAAACAAATACAAATTAGTGTTTAAAATAATAGTAGTTTGCGGTTTTAGTAATGGTTATTTTTTAAAATTGTCTACAAAAAAGTAGACCATGTTTTTTATCGATTTCAATACTAAATCTGTCTACAATTAAAATAAGATATATGAAATTAATTATGAATCTCAAAACAAAATAAACCCTTTTTTTAAACAATTATAGAAAATGTAATAAATTATAGACCTTGTGTTTTAATGTTATATGTATATATAACAGTATAAAAAAAGAAAAAAACATAAGCTGTTGTTTGAAAACGACAGTGATCTTGATGGATTTTTAGGCTAAGGTTTGATTGATGTCATGGTACGTCCAAAAAACGGATAAGTTAATTTGATTATTTTTCTAAAAGCTTAAGTATTCGACTGAGATTTTTTTAGAGGACTTACACTATTCTTTTTATTTATTATAGAATAGAAGTTTTGTTATGTTTTCACAAAATACATAATTCATAATAATATGCGTTTTTTTAAATTAGTTGAATGAGTTTATTATATTCTAGAAATAAATTGTAAAACTATTTTGTTTTTTGTCTTTAAATGTGATCTGTATAAATTGGAAATTAATTGGATTGTCTTTTATCTACATTCTCATTTGTACCAGCACCAATTCCCGACAATTCTGCATAGTTGAAAATTTGTTTGCAGTTAGTTAGCCGTTGTAATAAAACAATTATTGGAAAATAAATAATAACAATGTTATTTCAATACAAATCTTGAGGCCTTGTGCGGCACCTGTTATTCTTAAGTGACAAATCTGAAAAAATTAGCACATTTTTTTTCGACATGTCAAACCTATTTCTATACTTCGCTCTTCATAATCGAAATTAATGACCGCTTTAATACACATATATTATAATAATTTCTTATTTGTATACTACCTAGACAATTTTGGTTTTATGTCTTACGGTACCTAGTAAGACCTATAACCTACTTAAAAACTCCCAATTTTTTATAGTGTTTCAGTGAAAATTGACTGTCGGTTTATTTACATTTTATTTGATAATAAACTTAAAGCTCAATGTTAGTTTTCTACGTTATCCAAGAACCGTCTCTTAATCAAATTTTTGAAGTGCCTACAGAAAAATAATGTACAATGCATTGCTTATGGTTGTACGGTTTATAACCATTAATCAGTTTCAATTTTACACACCAAGATATTCAAAATGTGACGTTTCCAAAATACCAAGAGACTTTCGGCTAGAAATAAATGGCCGACAATATTAAATTTTGTAGGGGTGGAAAACGTGGTGCAGATTTGTAAAACGTCAGTGACGTATAAAATAAAAAATAAAAAACTATTGGACGAGATTTTACGCTAAAAGATTTTCTTAAAGTCCTTTTTTCAAAACGTCAAATTTTTTATACATTCTTATATCGTTATTTTCCCGTTGGCTTGTTAACCAAGTAAAATAATTGAATACAGCAACTACGAATACCTACACACAAAGTTACAAGAAGACATTTTTTTTTTTTTTAGGTTAAAATGAATTTAATGAAAAATACGTTTATATTATTTAAAATAAAAATATTTCCTAAGTAGTTTTTAAATAGTCTTAACTTTTAACTTTATATTATAACTAAAAACGTAAAAAAAAAAAATATTCCATACAAATTTCGTGTAAAATCCTTTGACAAATTTATGTGTCACTCAATAATGTTAATTTTTGACAATGATAACCAACGGTGAACAATGGATTTTTTAGACAAAATATAGTGATTTCAATAAAGCGAGCAATAGGAAAAAAGTTTGGCATCATACAGGAAGATAAAAGGATTAAAGTAAAAAGTATAAGTTCTATTTTTCCCCTTCTCCACGAATGATAATAAAAGTTTTGCAACGCCAAGATTGAAATTTTTAACGTTAAACTTGTCAGAAAAACGATTAGTGATAATGACGGAAAACATTAAACGCTTGCCTTTGGTTTTCTGTGTTGGTGGTTGCGTTTAACATTGAATAATGTCAGGCTTAAAAAAAAAAATTATAATACATCACAAATATGATTTCTGCAATATAATATAATAACATTGTAGATATTTTTGTGACTCATGCACAATAAAAAAAGGATGCCCCCTCTCCGGATTTAAACTTTGCTGTTGCTTTTTTGATGCCTTTGTCTGTAATCTTAAATTGGTAACCAAATGTTGACCTCATCATCATCTATCATATTCACGTGTACTTTCAATACTTATATTTTGTTTCAAACTGACTTTTTTAGAGAGTAAATCATTTTGTCAACTACCAAAAAACAATTTACACCAACGTCAAATATTTTGCAAAAGTTTAAAAAATTGTGTAACAGTTTATAGCAGTTTTTAAGAATTATTACATTTTTTAGCCTACAATAAATTTGGTATTACCAGTTTTTAAGCTTAAATAGTGAGAAACGGCCATAATTATTATAGAAGCTAAAAATAGTTATGGGTTATGGCTTATGACTTGCAATAAAAACACAAAATATAAGCTTCTTAAATCACAAAAATTATTATAGTATGTTTAATAAACATTGTTTATAGCTCATAGTTTTTAAAATTAAATATCTGATATTTTATATGTATAATAATAGTTACATATTTTTATTGATTTACAACCCCACCTGGTGCATTAATAATAATTATTATAAAACCTATTTGGTAGAAGCTTTTACATAATTTATTGGTTTTTTATGTGTGCGCCGAAAAATCAGAATTTATTTCTATAATGAATGTTAATAACGTACAAACTAATTATGACGTCTACGAATCACACACTTTTGTACTTTGGTCCATCTAAGTTATTCATCAACTTCCATTTGTATATTATTATGACCTAATGCCATCATCTGGCAGCTGACGTGATGATAATTTTGCTTTGTACACTGATTATATTTTATAATATAATGATCGGTGTATTTAATGAAAATAGTTTAAAACTCAACTTAAAAGTATTATACTAAAGCCGACAGTAATTATACCCTTAAGGAGAAAAGGGTTAAAAATTTTAATCGATTGCCTGCCCGCTCTAATAATTTAAAACCGAAAATATATCGATTAAATATCGATTGAAATACATATTCAACAATATAGTAAAAATATTTTTAAGACATCTGTTAAATGTTAATTTATTCAAACATACCAAATAACTAAGAAATTGTAAACAATGCGAGTGTGTTTTTTTTTTTTTTTTTGGATTTGCATCAACAAATAAAGAAAAAGTTTCACACTTACTAGGAGAAAGGGTTTATAATATCTTTTATTGTTTGCCAATATCCGACAATATTCGAATGTATTATAATATCTACCTGATGTGTAGCCAACACAAGTTTGAAAGTTGAAAAATATGTAAATTATGTTTGTGTGTTTTCTCAATTTTGACGGAAAAAGGCATAAACTTTTAAATTTCTGCCTCAACACAGTACCTTCCAGATAGGATACCTGATCTATATAGACTATCAACACGAATAAATAGGTCAAACGGCTTAGAAGATATTGTAAGTCCGATTACAAAAAAAAAACAAATAATTTTAATACATTCTTAGATCTGCGTCGAAACTAAAAAAAATGTCATTTTTTTTTTGAGAAATATTAAAAAAAAATTAAATCGCGTAACAATCTATGGAACACATATTTATAAACTAAAAAAACCTAACGTTTTCAATTTGTAAGCATCCTTATAAAATATTATTCAAAATATTCAAGTTGCAACCTTCCTTAATGTATACTTCCTAGTAATATAATCAAAACGGTTTTTTGCATGACTGAATTAAAGGTTGATAGTCGAAACCTGGCTATAATAGTACATTATATAATAATTTATACTCAAGGCAAACCGTCAATAGCAAATGTTCATATTATTATGTTTTATTCATAACAATATAATTGTTAACTATAAATACCTACACACAGATGTAATAACACTGCCAATACATAAACTAATTGAAAACACTCAAATAAACAAAATTTACAAATTATCATCTAAAAAATTGAAGTACAGACTAACAAATGTTAGAAAGTTAGAAGCCTATCCCTAGTAATATTACTACACACATAAAAATATCTTTATTAATAATATTAATACATGAGGTTAATGCCCTGTTTATAGGGGAAAATAACTATAGATTGTCCTATGCATAGAGAGGTGCGGAATGTCAGACAATTTATCGAGTTATAGTACAGATTAGATAAAACTTATCGTCTTATCTAATCTGTGATTATTGGAAGGAGCAGCTATATCAATTATTAGGACAAGAAGAAAATAAAATATATAAAACCCGTAGGTGTCTTTTTAATACGCATTCTGGAGTTGCTTTGTGCTATCCAAAACAATTATGGTTGAAATTTGAAATGTACGAAATGTGCACTTAAATGTGTAATCCGTTATTGTAAAATTTAAACATAATTTTCGCGTCGTCTACACTTTCAACAATATTTAGTATTTTTATCACTCATTCGAGTGGTTGCTAGTAGCAGTAATGTACACAATTAAATGAGGGGAGGTGTTTATTTAATTTATGGGCCCGTCAAAGCTATTTCGCCTTACGGTACGAAATGTCCGATTCAGGACCGGAACTGTAGCAGTGATAATATTGTCACATTTATACATATACAGCTAATACTAAGCCGAATAGCTTCCGGCCGGACCTTGTTAGGGGACGCGGAGAACAGCTCTCTGCGCGGAAGAGCAACAGTTGACGGCGGCCGTTCGCGCGCTTTGCAACCGCATCGGCTATGCTTGAACGGCAGTTGTCACGCGGCGGTCGGTCAGACACGAGGTCCGTGCGGTGGCGTTTACCGTCTTGAAAGGGTTTGTCCGCGAATCATCATCACCATCATTATAATATTATATACTGTTATTGTTTGCGTTTAAAGACCCAAAAGACATTTGTCGATAGTAAAAACCACAGCAAACGATCAGAGTGTGTCGCGATATCACCGTATAAATTGTGTACAAGTGCTTGAAGAATCCACAACGGTCGGACCGGGCAGGACTATAATAATAGTATTATCAATCGCACCGGATTAGCGGTAATTATTCAAATATTATACTATAGAAGGATAACCGCAAGGACGTACCGGAAAAAGTCCCTATTTGAGGGGAGACCCGAGAGAGGGAGTTAAGTTAGGCGATTGTCGGCTACGGAACGGGCTCGGGTTGTTATTGGATTTGTAGAGTGACGTTTTTTGATTTATTTGTACTTGAAAATATAGTAAAATATTCGAATTTCACATAATGGGGTAGAAATATTTCTGAATTGATGAAAATGTTTTAATATAGACGATTAGAATAGAAGAAAAATACGTAATATGTATTACCAGTGTAATAGTTACGCTGGTTAAAAGTGTACAGTTGCAACACGATTCTGGAACAAGAACAAAAAAAACAAATCCTAGTCTGACTTCTGATCTTCTCTGGTGCAACTAGTCACTTTTTAAATCTTCTCCAAAGGTGTAAATAAATTACAAAACAAATATTAGAATTTTATGATTTTTATAAGCTAAACATTTTTACATTTTCCCGGCTAACTGAGATAACATAGTATAACAGATTAATAGAGATGTTGGAAGTCTTATGGTCTTAAAAAAATACTAAGATAACACACTCATTTGTATTATATAAATGTATAATGTACATATACCATTAACGTATTAAACCTTAAAAGGTTTAATATGTAAATATATTTTTTTTAACGTAGTTTCCGGTCTTTTGGATTTCACACATTTTATTTTATTGAGAATAAATCAAAAGCCTAATTACACGATAATGAACACCTTTATTGCCAATTTATAATAATACTTTTTATTGGTATTTAATCATCGTTGCCTTTATCGTCTACAGTTCACATCAAACAGTTTATTTCTAGAACCATTTTATCAGATTTTAATGATTTACAATGACCTGTGACCGCTTGATTATTTTTATACTAATTTGGTTCGATCAAACTTGCCCTCAAAAAAAAAACCCACCACAAATATCAGACGTAACCGTGTTACGTCTGATATTTGTTCAACTATATTGAAGTCAAGGAAAATTTTTGACTTACAAATAGGTATTAAAAAATTACTAATTAAATTATCACAATGTGATAATTGTTTTATTATTTCTTTTTTACTCAAACTAATCAACGCGATAATGCTTAGCTCGGCCTTGTACTTTATTATTTTTATCATTAAAACGAGTGCGTACCTCGTTGATGTAAGACATGTGCCAGTCGTTGTAGTGACTCTAAGGTTTATTTTAGTCAGGGAAATATTAGTAATTATAAATATCGAAAGGCAAAGTCGGGCATGATATCAAATAGTTGGATGTTGAGAATCACATTTAAAAATGTTGTTTTTTAAGAAATAAAAATCCTTAAATTAAGTCAGTATTATAAAAGGATATTCAATGATATTATTTTAGAATTATTCATATTGATATCACTAGTAATTAATATTAATATATAATATGAATTATATTATTATTTCATGATTATCGTTAGAGTACAAAGCTTAGACATATATATATATATATATATATATATATATATATATATATATAAACAGCACTGAACTGTTTAATTTTAAAACTTAAACACAAAAAAAAAATTGCTCGTTCAGTGGTGTTTAATGTTTATATAATTGGATAAAATAATATAAAATTTCAAAATTCATCAATTTGCTCGTTCAGTTTTGTTTTTAAACAATTTTTTTTCATTAAAAATCGTGTACTTAGAAAAAAAAGTTGAAATTAGTAAAATGCCATTTTTTTTGTTTTTTACAAACTATAATTAGTTGATTTCTGCGCATTTTTTAAGCCAATTACTTCATTTTTAGTTCTGTTATTTTCCAACTGTTCGTTTCAATTTTAATTTCGTAGTACCTAATTAACTAGGTATATAAACCTAATAAATCAACCATAATATGGCGAAACTACACTTTAGTAGACGACACTCGCCGCATTTATTTATAGGGACTCGGTATAGGCAATTAGTTCGCAAAGCCTCAAAGGTAATATTATAAAGTGTTTATTTTATTAGTGTTATAAGAATTCTCTATTGGTACTTAATTATCTTATCAGACTAGCACAGCTTCCATTATTAACTTTTTTTTTTAATCAGCTTTTCTAAGAGTTCAAATAAAAAACCGTTTCTTGGCGAGAACTTGGAAGATATTTAAATTTCACTTTTTCGTAGGGATTATTTCGATCATTTTGAGACTGAAACCAAAATTTATGCTTTTAAAATAAGTTCTCTTAACATAGTGTTGACTATAAAAAATGTAAGTAAAAAAAAATCGAGAATGAATACTTTTACTTATCTTTCTCAAAGCGTTAAAATCACGATTTTATAAAAAAATAAAATAGAAATCCCAAAGTATAACAATGTTAATCCTTGTTTTTAAACAGTGATTTTTCTCTTGCGACATCTTGTAAATAATTTTCCATAAATTCGTCATGACATGTAAGAGAGAGCTTCAGTTTTTTTTTCTAAAAATAGTATCCAAGTAAGCATAAAAAATATATTAATTTTATTTCATCAATTTCTTTTTTCGTTTGATTATTAATTTGTAAAATTGATAACACTTTTTACTATAATAAATACAATAATAAACGTCAGTACATAATAATAACAATAGTTATTGATCGGAGATTCTATAATACTGTGTGTGAGAAATTATTGTATTGTATTTTATCGGTAAATTAATATTTACATGAAAAATTCAGTTTTTTTTTTTACATTTTGCAATATATTAATTTTTATACACCTTCTAGGGTTTTTTTTTTTTTTTACAAAATTACAAGGACATTTAATTCTCGTGTGTAACGAAACGGTTAACGAGGGTTTATATTGTATTTAAAATGACACGTTAAAAATGTTATATTCATTTTATAAACAGGATAACATTATATAGGTTGTACCGTTGTTGGTAACGCAACGGCGGGCAAAAATAAAACCAAACACTCTAAAAAAAAAAAAAATATTATTAATATTTTAATATTGTATTAACTGTTTGCTTAACCACTTTAGAAAAAAACAAACTGCTTCCTAGCCTTCACACGTGTGCAGTGTTATGTAGAATATTTAACAACTCATAACCGATATGGTTATATAAACATTAGTGACTTGCATAAAAATATACTCAAGTTAAAAATACTGTACATTGGGGTTTGGGCAATGTATCATATTGTAAAATGACTGTCAAAGACGTCTTTTTGGCCTTATAAAATACCTTTTGGTTACGATTTCTGGTCTATAAATTAGCTAAATAAAGAATCACATACAAAATAAAAATAAAATTATGTTATAACCGTTGCAGTATATTTAATGAAAACAAATCGACCATTTCTTTTTAAATACTGTTACTGTGCGTGTCTAATGACTACGGTGAAAATCATTGTGGTCAGTAATTATAATTAGAATTTAAGCGATTTGACTGTTCAACAAGCATTTGGTCTTGTTTGAAACAAGGTGTCTTACGTGGTAAACAGTAATTAGTACACTGATAATGCTCTCACTCATTATTTTAAGGCAAGAACTATATTATGTATTTAATTGTCAGAAAAAAAGATAATTTTTCTTAATTATCTCAAATTAATTCTCAATTTGTATTTTTCCCACTAAACAAATATTATGCTGTTTGTTTTTAATTGCATTATTCTTGAACCATCTTACTGATGGGCGAACTTTTGTTTTGTTTTTATACAAATATTTATTCACAGTGTTACATATTATTTAAAGCAATATAGTCAACTAAATATAGTCACTAAATCAGTTACAAGTCATAATCGTCATGACTTTTGACCTTATTTTCTTATTACAGTATAATTGCCAATCATTTTGACAGATTGATAAAAACTTGTTTCAACTCAAAACCACTTCATTAAAAAAAATGTACATATTCTGTTATCTATTAACAATTATATTCTCTACAACAATTTTAAGGACATAAAAAAATATGAAAATTTTGATCGAGTTGCAGTCTATGGATAATATAATAATATAACCTAAAGTCCCAGAAAATTCGATAAAAAAATTTACTCGAAAATAAATATTAAGAAATGTATAAGGAGTAAATGTTTAAAAACATCCAACTGTCTTGTAAAATTAAAATAAATTAATTTTTTTCCAAAAATAAAAAAAAAATATTATTCATATTTTCAGAAAAATATAGTTGTTTTTATACTTTTTTTTTTTTTTAATTTCAGTTTTTTTGAACATTCCTGAAACAAATTTATGTCTAATTATTAAAAATAATTACAAAATTAACCAAAAAGTTTGGAAATATAGTATTAACTATTTCTATAAAAATTACAATTGCACAAGATAACTAATAATTTTAAGTAGATCAATAAACTTTGTACTTTTTTTTGGATAATGTTCATGAGACTTTTCGTCTGAGAATGCGATAAGATGTTTTTATGTAAATAAATTTCATAACAATATGATTTTTATTTATTTTAATAATATTTAAATAGTTCTAATATTATACAAAACATTTTTTTTTTACGTTTTGCATTTTTATCACATATGTATTGTATTTTTATTGCATAATATTACTATGCTCAGATTCTACTCGAATAAATATTTTATGTGCGTTTTATTCAGCGCAAATTAATTGACTTTAAACTCTTTTTTTACTATGGTACAAAAAATATTAATAACAATACTAATACACAAATTGCGTACATTGGAAAATATGCAATAAAAACGCATAGTATGTTTAATAAATACACATTTATATATATATATATATATATATATATTGTTGATGTGTTCAATTTTCTCCTTACACGAGGGGAGAGTCATTTCACATAGGAATTCACAGCTCGCACGTGAATATACTAATAATTCGACAAATGTACTCTAAATGAATACTACTTGTTCTGCAATCTGCATTTATTAGAGAGCGAATGACATGTTATTTTATCATGTCAATTTCAACGATTCGATAAAAAGGTAATTTAATATTATAATTTGGCCGACAGTTATTGGCCACCAAATAATTACCAATAAAAAATAGTTTTTGAAATTGTTATACAAATTTAA